TCTGCTTTCTAATGTAATAACAAAAGAGGAATACCATATATTAAAAGTCTCTACTTCCCTACCTCTAACTAGATCAAAACTCCCAGGGCTCCTCCAAAATGCCCATGGTTTTGTCTCCTGTACCACGACCAACTCACTGACTGCATAATTCTTTTGCACTCATCACTGCAAACAGGGAAGACACCAGTTGTCTAAAATTCAATAAATACTAGCTGTAGGTTGATTTCAAAGGCTTGGAAGGAATGGGCTCCTTTCTAGAGAATTTTTCAGACTGTGTCAGCTAAGCTGCCACTATCGTAGCTGGTCTTGGCATCTGCCCCCCATCAGGGCCCCTGCCTAACTTTCCAAACATAGCTTGCTGGCGTCAGTAAAGAGAGGCTTAGAGCTCCCCAGAAGCTTTGCCTATGGACAGAAGTGGGGGGAGGTAAGTCTCAGAGGCCACAGGAGGTACTGCAGCCAGGCTCACCCTCCTACGTGCAGACAGGCACAAACCACCGCAGGGGCGGGGCACCGCACCACTTGTCGGCCCTGCCACCCTCCCCTCCCGAGCTGAGAGGCCGAAAGGCCCACCAGATGTTGCACGCTGCCATTCGCTTGGCAGCCCCGCTCACCTTTCCCGAAACAGCTTCTTTAATGAAAGCCCCAATCAGGCCATTCATTTATCTAGTCTAAAGCTGGCTCTTGGTGAAAAATCCAAGTTCCCAGAAAGTGTGCTAGTATTAAGAACAGTCTTCCTTTAGCTCTATTCCCAGCTGTCCTAGAATTGAGGTTTAAAGTGATGACTCACGGTCCTAGAGGACTTAAAAAAAAATTTTTTTTAAGTAATCTCTGTGGGTCTCAAACTCACGACCCCAATCAAGAGTTGCATGCTCGGGGCGCCTGGGTGGCTCAGTTGGTTAAGCGACTGCCTTCGGCTCAGGTCATGATCCTGGAGTCCCGGGATCGAGTCCGGCATCGGGCTCCCTGCTCGACAGGGAGTCTGCTTCTCCCTCTGACCCTCCCCCTCTCATGTTCTCTCTCTCTCTCATTCTCGCTCTCAAATAAATAAATAAAATCTTTAAAAAAAAAAAAAAAGAGTTGCATGCTCTACTGAATGAGCCAGCCAGGCGCCCCTCCTCTAAGACCTCTTCCCAAGTAAATCACTTCTGTATCTCCCAACATCCTCAACAAGGTTGCAAGAGAACTCTGCTCACATAGGCGACTCATCCTTGTGGTGTGTCAACTGAGATTTGACTGTGGACGTTTAGAATGATTCAGAAAGAAAATGTCAGATGAGTCATTTTCCCCTACCCTGAGCTCAGTCTTAGCTCTTGGCAAAAATAACGCATCCTGGGGCGCCTGGGTGGCTCAGATGGTTAAGCATCTGCCTTCGGCTCAGGTCATGATCCCAGCGTCCTGGGATCGAGTCCCGCATCGGGCTCCCTGCTCCTTGGGAGCCTGCTTCTCCCTCTGCCTCTCTCTCTCTCATGAATAAATAAAATCTTTAAAATAAATAAATAAATAAAATAACGCATCCTGACATGCCTTCATACAAGCTGAAGCAAAGTAAATTAGAACCAGAGTACTGTGAACTGATAATGCTAAGAGCTGCTTTCTAGCTCGTAAGGCATTTCCTCATTTCTTCCACCGCCTCAACATTAAAAAACACACAGCTTTAAGAAATAAAATGGCTTTTCCTGTGAACCACCCCCCTTAATGTCACAACATTCAAGGCACAGAAGCAACTCCTACGAGGTGCTAGGTCTGTTTGGAGTCCCAGCTACCAAATTTGCCAAGTCACTGGCAAATTATTAGAGACCCAATAATGCTTGTTGTTAAACTGAATTCAACACTAAAATTATTTACTCCTAATGCAGTGCTTAAAATGAGAGCAGCTATACTAAGACAGGAAGAGACTAATGTCCATTTATTTTGACTTAAGTCCAGTAACTCAAGAATGAGTTCAAGGACATTCTTTCAGTCGTTGTTTTTCATGACCATGACAGGGCTGCCATGTCTCAGGAATGCAGGTGCACAGACTACATGACCAAGGCACAGGGTTCTGCCATGCTGTGCCTAAGCTCCTAGGGCAGTACAGACAGCTGGGGCACCTGGACAACCATTTTTTCACTTAACTGAAACCATTTTTAACTTGGGGAAAATGCATGCTTCACTATTTGACTCACTAAATGGAGAGAAGGGACTTTTTAAACCTGCGAAGACCACAATGCAGTTTCCCACTCACCCAACGAAGAGAATTCTCTCAAAAGCAGAGCAGTTGAAAGGTTGAGTCATCTTCCCCCTGGAGGCCCCCCCACCCTCCCACAGACCTGGTGATGGGTTACATACCCTTCCCCTCAGGACAGCCCCACTCCATTTCCCAACAGCATCGTCAGGCAACAAGAGAGTAAATTATTTGCTAACAATGCCACAGAGCAAGAGTCCTGACCTAGGATATCCTCTGTAGCCCAGGGAGTGGCCACACCCTCAGTCCTGCCAAGAGGCGGCTACTGCCCCTGCCTCCCATCCTCACACTTACCACCTGGCTGAGCAAATCCTAGAACTCCACCTGGAGCAGGTGGGGATAGCGTGTGCAGATTTCAGTTTGGGGGTTACAAGTTTGTTTCTACTCTTACAGCCCAACACCAACTGCTGGAATTCTGGCCCTCCTTGCCTTCCTTTGTCTACAGGTCCTGATCCTCGGGAGACCCAAAGAGCCCCTGTAGCGAGGGGAGAGCTGCAAGGTAACATTATTAGTTACTTTGTAAACACTGTGTACCAGGATCCCTTAAGTGATTGGTTCCCAGGAGATGTCTGGTACTTAGAAACCTGACTAAATAGTTAATCCCAAGATTAACTCTGAGTATGTGTTTGGGGATGGCACGGAGAAGATGAGCCCTCAACCTCCATTACAGTTTAAGTAATTGTGCTCAGTGACCAAAGAATACATCTGGAGCCATTTCTTCTGCACATCTCACTTAGAGATGAGGCAGTGCGGAGAGTATTCACCACATATACATGTAGGTATGTGTATTAAGGAAGCGATCCTTTCAACGATCCGGGGGAAATGTTACTCCCAGTTCACAAATGGGAAACGGAGGTCCTGGGGCTGAATTCCCTCCATCATTCCCGTATATCCATGATTCAAACCCGAATCTAAAAGCCTGTTAACTTCCCAATGCTTCTGTCCATCATGCCTGGACCTTAACTATCAGACTCATGTGTACAGGAGAGGATCAATGTCCTGGGTTTGAAGAACACGGATAAAAAGTCAAGGAATGCCTTTCCATGACTGGGCTTTTAAACAACCTTCACATTGGAAGGTACTCCTCTGCTTCAAACCCAGTGTGTGATGCCACCTTGTGCGGCCTTTCTCCACACACAACCCCCCCTCCCCCAACAGGAAGCGGTCCCTTCCTCGCAGCACTTCCCACTGGTAACTTTTATGTTAGTTCCCTAATCACATCGTGTTGCGGGCTGTGACCTTTCTAGCCATCCCCCCTCCCCCAAAACAGCTTGGCACACAGAGATTTTATTGAGTGAACGCGGTACGTGGCGCCAAGCTCTGGACATATTTCTACTCTGCCTATAACCTGCTCCCACCCACCCGAGACCTCCGTGTTCTGCGATCGGGAGCCTATGTTCAGCGAGGTGAAGCAGAGGCGAGCCTGCGCTGGTCCTCCGGAGGGGCGGAGCGGGTCCCGGGCCGCTACGTGCAGCCCCGCCGCGGCGGGAGGGAGCCCGGCGACCCCTTCGGGGCCAGTGCGGCGAATCCGGGGCGGCCTCAAGCAGGAATGCGCCACAGAGGCAACCACCCTCTCCTCCCCGTGCAGCAGGAAGGCCGAGGGTTACGTAATCTTCCAACTGCGTCCCCGGCCGCCGCTGCATCCCCCGGCCGCACGGCAGCCGGCCCTGCCCATCCGCAGACCACTGCGATTCGGGCGGTGAGCGCCGGACGCGGGCCCGGGGCTCCAGGACTCACCCGCTGCAGAAACGCGGGAGGCGGGGGATGCAGGCGGACGTGACCAGGACGGAGGGGAGGGGCGAGGACCCGGGCGGAACGAATCAGAAAGCGGAGGAGAGGGATGCGGAGCAGCGGACGTGACCAGAATGGAGGGGGGAGGGGCGGAACCAGAGCATGAATGGGGGAAGGGGTAGGCATGAGGGGGGACAAGGACGCGGGAAGAGCACACGACGCTGAATGGAGGCGGCACGGGGGAAGGGAGCTGGGGACGGGTTTCGAGGAGAGGTTTCAAGGAAAGCATCAGAATCAGGGGGACACGGTCAGGTTGAAGACGGAGAGGGGGAATGGTATAGTATTAAGGGGCCACGGGAGGAGGCGAACAGAGGAGCGGGGGCTGGAGGGAGGAGAGGAAGGCACCCGATGAGGAGGGATTACTGGAAGTAAGTGATGATGGAAGCAGATCGAGGAGGCGAGGATGGGACCAGAATGGGAGTAAGCATTGGGGCAGGAGAGCGCCTTTGGAAGAAACAGGAGCTGGGCGTCTGGGGGCTCTGAAGAGCAGGCCCTAGGCGCGAGGTGCCTTTCTCCTCTCTCCCGACCCCACCGGGTGCAAGATGCCCGGGAGCCTGCGCCGGCCCGGGTGTGGGTGCCCTGAGTGCGCAGGCGGCCGGGATTCCGCACTGGCTGGGCGCACGGAGCCGGGCCCAGCCTCTGCCCCGCTCACCTCCGGCGCGGTCCCGCTCGAGCTGCACTGCCGCAGAACGGTCTCGACGCTCGCGACGCGGAGCTGCTGTGCCAGAGTCGGCCGCCTGAGCACCAAGGTTATCCCCGCTGCGGCCGCCGCAATCCCTCCGCCGCCCCGCCCCGCACCCAATCCTGGCTCCCGGCTCGCCCGGCCCCGCCCCTCCGCGTCCTCGCCGGGCGCAGTCACCTTCAGGAGGAAGTGCCGCCGTTCGGAACCCTCCGTCAGGTTGCCCTTTAGGGGAGGACTATATTCCGTGGCGGAAGGACACGTTACATAAAAATCGCAGCCTTGACGCTCTGCGCGGGCCAATGGGGAAGTGGCAAGGCGGCAGGGCCCGCCCCGGGAACTCCGGAGACCTCCCTCCCAGACCCCCCGGCGCCGGGGCTACCACATGTTGCTGCCAACTTGGGAGTGCTGGACGAGGGCTCTTCTCTTGACCCTCGGCCCAGGCTGCCCCAACTGTCCTGACCTAACCGGGCAGTGCCCAGATTTATGGATCTCCAGGAGCATTCCTCCAGCCCCGTCCCGCGACTCCCCATACCTCCGGGTGCCTGCCCCGGCACACACCTCGGAAACTGAGTCGCACAGGAAGTTAGGGAGCCCGAGTTAGGATCAGAAGGTGGGGAGAATTGGAGACTCGTGGGATGGTTGGAGGTCGCCTTCGGAAGGGCTCTAGCACTGGAGCGAGGGGAGAACTAGGGAGGGCGGAGTGTACATGGAGCGGGAGCGCGAGGTCTTTTTGTTCTTAGGGCTAGAACAAGGAAGGACAAGTTGGGGCCAGGTGAATACTTTAGTTGGGGCTGGAATCCTGCAGAGCGTGCCTGAGAGTAGAAAGCGAATAGAAGGTATTAATATTAGTGCAGAACTGACCATCAGGAAATGTCAGAACGTTACAGCCAAAAAATCTGCAGGAATCAGCACTTTTGTTTTCAACCTTATGTATTTAAATCAATATCGTTAGAGCTTTCCTTACATCTTTCTCCAAAGTATTTTCCGATTCCCGGTGATTGGTCAACAACCAGTGATGACAGCAGTTATCAATGAAGCAGCTGTTAACTCTTGCCTTCATTAAGCCAAGTTTTGAGAACAGATACAATGTTGCCTCATTAAAAATCGTTAAGACTATTCTCTTGGGTCTTTCCTTTCCCCGGAACAGGAGACCAATGGGTGTGACCTGCTAGAGACATCTGCCTTGCAGGGGAATCACAGGTCTTTCATTCCGCTTTCCTGTTGGTTCAGATAAGATGGGACCAGAAAGTGACACCCTAAAAGTAAGTTTCTGTTTGCGATAGAATCCTTCAATTTCTTCTGGATGCTTTTTCTGGTCCCCTTAGTTGTAGATAGGAAGTTGGTTGGCCCTGAGCTAAAGATGAACTAAAAAGAGTGGTGGACAACACTGGGGCGTGGGGGTGTCAGTGAAATGGCCAGTGCTGGACTATGTTGCATTTAAGTTCTAAGTCTAGATGTATTCCCAAGATTGAAAGGCATATGTATTAAACTGAAGAGTCATAAAAAAAATGCCATCCATGAAACTCTGGCAGAGACTAATCCAGCATATCCTTGCTCACATTTAGATGCATAGTGAAAATTTGTCACATGGAAGGTGACTGACATTGTTTTGCTGAAAAGCAGAATATACAAGAAAGTTTGGATTCCATCTTAGTTCCAATTCTACTCACTAGTTCTATGACCATATCCTACTCACTAGCTCTATGACCAGTTCCTTAAAAGTAAATTGAAGACAATTCCTGCTTCATAGGATGGGGTTTGATCAGATGATGTATGTGAATGAGTACTGCACGGTGCCCAGCAAGCTTCCCCTTTTTTGGGAATTGACCTTGTGGAGGATGGTCCTCTTGACTAGTGCCAGAACATCCTTCTGAATTCAAGTAACTGTTTGCCTTCACTTGGTCATCCTGAATCTCCACTCCTTTGACCCGGCAACAAGTAACCTCGAGGCTACATGAACCTGGGGGTGGGGGAACTGAGGCAGAATACAGACCCCCCCCCCCGAAGCTCCTCCCCTAGAGCCAGTCCTTCCACTATGCTCTCTGACCTGGCAGGATGGGAGGGGGAGCTGCTAGATTCACTAGACTGTGTAAGAGTGAGGGTATAGATTGCTGTGTTACCTGTTTGGATTCAGGGCCACAGAACCACAGAATCAAATGGTCTAATTCTCGAAGGTCATTTGGAGTCCCTTGATGGGGTAAGCGTGTCAGCAAATGGTACAGGACCCAAACCCCTGGGGTCCAAAGACAAGCTTTGGCCCTGGTGAAGAGGGTGAGGTTTACAGGCTTTACCATTACATGAACTCTGGGCCTGTCTGAAACGGCAGTGTTATTTCTCTTTCAGGCCAATACAGATTTCCAGGGCAGTCCATTGGCCCTGAATGTCTGATTTAAAGCAGAAGTGCTTATCACTTTGGACTTTATATGCCCTTTCCAGAGCCAGACAAGTAGACGTAATTTATTCTATGCCTTCCTTCGGACTCCCAAGAGCTCTTCAGGCTCACCAGGGTGGCACAAGATCTTAATTCCAGAGTTCCCCCACAGAAAACTCCTGGAAGAGAAAGTTGGGCTTTTCAAATTAGGGATAATGAGAGAACAAGTTGTCTGGGAAGGGGAAGGCTTCATGTAGGAAGAGGCATGGAGGGTTGGTTAGGATAGAGATGGGTATGGGAAGGCCATTCCAGGGGATAGGAAAGGTAAAGAATGTTTTCTGAATGCAACTTTATATCTACGTCCCCCCTCCTGAGGAAATGCCCCATCAGCACTTAGAAGCAGGAGGGAAGCTTGAGGAGTCCTTGTTCATTCCAGTAGAAGTACTGCCTCATCAAGGTGACCCTGTCAACCTACGTCACCCATTGCAAGTCTTTCTCTAGCCCATAACTGTTAGGGCTCACAGGACAAAGTCTCCCTAAAGTACTTTAATCCTATCCACCAAGCCAGTCCCATGGAAGCCCTGTGCTCTCTCCTTTTTCCCTACAAGTGTAGCCATAGCTAGGCTCGCTAAGATGTTGGTGGGATTGTAAGCAGACCCTATCCCCCAAAGTAACCGGAGATTCGGAAGACCAAGAAAGGTAGCAGTGAACAATGGATTAAGTGACCCCTTCCCCAGAAATTCCTCCTGCTGCAATTCAGTCAAACTTTTTGCTTGGCACCATACCTCCAGTCTTCATCTCCACGCTCACTGGCTACCAGTAACCTGACCCACTTAGTCTAGACGGGACAGCTAGAACTAAGGAGACTTTGGTCTCTCTCCTAGATAAAATATTTTTGTAGGTAATGCTTTAACTTAAAGGATGGCATCATTGGCCCCACTGGGGGGGCGCATGGAGGGGGGAAGTGGTTCTGAAATCTCTGTGGAAAGTCCTATACTCCAGAGAGAATGATGCCCCTTCAAATGAACTGGAGCTGACTTTTATTCCCACCTTTCTGGGGAGGGGCGCTCTGAGGTAATTGTGTGACCATGAGGCTTCCTCCCCACCACTCTCAAATTGGTCCCAGAAGCTGAGACATCTCCCAAACCTCCATGTCAGAATCTATCCTATGAGAAGCTGTTAAGTAACCCAGTTATGACTCAGCACCAGACTCTTTCCTCCCTCTCCCCACTGGCCAGAATGAAAGGCAGAACCAAGCAGAAGGCTCCTCCCCTATGGATGGCCACATCCTCACCACATACTGAGTCAGGACCACACCCTGCCTGTATGGAAAATTACCATGAGAAGGAAGAGGAAAGTTAAACTCCAGGGGTTTTTCCGAGTTCTCAATCCAGAAATCATAGCCATCTACTCTCCACCTGGAACTAATTGAGGAAGATAGTTCTTTCTCTGGCCCTAGCCCTAACTCAGCATGTCGAGGTCTAAATGAACTAAGGCTTCTTGGGCCCAGGACCATGTGAAAGATAGGAGGCCACTGTCAACCTGTGTGTGCAGTATTTGTACTAGCCTTGGCCTCTGTGAAGGATGAGCTCTGGTTCAGACCTGGCTTTCACAGGCCCCCACCTCCCCACCTCCCTGGTAGGCAGGCCTGGGTCAGAGAAAGAGGCAATCCTCCCTCCACTCTTCCTCCAGGCTGTGGGAGCATTCCTCCCCAGAAATTCAGGGCCCCACCCTGCAAGTTCCCTGCAATGAAGTCATCGTTGTTAGAGAAGTGCCATAGGTTTTAATTAGATTTGTTTTATATCAAATAGCTTTTAAAACTTTTCAGATATGATTATGTATGGCTTTCAAACTGCTTAGATTCAGAGTCCTGTTGCTTTTATGTGGGACATTATAAAATGGTGTATTTAAGGTCATTACAATCTTATTGGCATAAAAAAGACATTATGTATATGCTGTAAAAAAAAAAAAAGTGACACCCATGAGACTAGCTCAGATATTTGAGTTTTCTCCTGGTTATATATACTATCTGTGCTTTACTTCTCATTCTATCTATTGCTAGTACTTCCTATAGCAGGTGCCACTGATAAATTATAAGAAATACTTACAACTGAGAAAAATCCATTAACAATTTCTGAAAACTGAGCAAAAATGTTGTTATATCACTGGAGTGGCCAAGAACCTAGGCTGAGTTGCTGGAACACCTGTGTGCGCAGTCTGAGAACCTCTGAGGAATTAAAACAATGATTAAGAGCTCAGATTCTGGAGTTGAGCAGTTCCCTGGTTAAAAACCCAGCACTGCCACTAACCAGCTGTGTGACCTCAGACATGTTATTTAAGATCTCTAAAGAAAACCTATCTTCCATCTTTGTTATCAGGACTAAATGAAAAAATGACTTGTAAAGTGTGAAAGGTTATCTAGCCTAGAAACAGAATAACAGTTCTGGAGTCAGGTCACCTGTTGGTCACTAGCTGTGGAATATGAGTAAATCACTTATCCTCTGTGCCTCCGTTTTCTCACCTACAAAATGGGAATGCCGGCCCCTACTTCATAGGCTTGTGCAAATTATATTAGTCCATACACGTAGAGGGCTTACAATGCCAAGCACACAGTAAGCCAAAGTGTTAGCAAATTATTAAGGTGCTTACTAGTATAATGCCCAGCACTTACCTAGTAAGAACTAAAAAATGTTAGCTATCTCTAATACTATACAGATGAGCTCCTCCTAGGAGACAGGAATTTCAGTCAGGGTGGGCTTCCTGATGGGGCCATTTACTTAGTGGAAGGGTATTTCTCCTAGACCTGAAAACAGAATGGGACAGACAACCTTAGGAGACTTGTAGAGTCAGAGTGTAACAGTCTTGATTAAGAACGGGTGATGAAGGGCGCCTGGGTGGCTCAGTTGGATAAGCGACTGCCTTCGGCTCAGGTCATGATCCCGGAGTCCGGGGATCGAGTCCCACATCGGGCTCCCTGCTCGGCGGGGAGTCTGCTTCTCCCTCTAACCCTACCCCCTCTTGTGCTCTCTCTCTCACTCTCTCTAATAAATAAATTTTAAAAATCTTAAAAAAAAAAAAAGTTTAAAGAACGGGTGATGAAGTTTAAGAAAAAGTTCCTAGGGGGACAGACCTTAAGAATGGTACTTCTATGGGACGCCTGGGTGGCTCAGTTGGTTAAGCGACTGCCTTCGGCTCAGGTCATGATCCTGGAGTCCCGGGATCGAGTCCCACATCGGGCTCCCTGCTCAGCAGGGGATCTGCTTCTCCCTCTGCCCTCTTCCCTCTCGTGCTGTCTCTCATTCTCTCTCTCTCAAATAAATAAATAAAATCTTTAAAAAAAAAAAAAAAAAGAATGGTACTTCTATGTAAGGCAGGTCAGGAACTACAACACAGGTAAGGTACTCAGGCAAAGAAGGTTATCTCCAAAGTAGGGTGAAGGTAATGAAAGACAATAGGTGGTGTTGGGCGGACGCTGTAAATCAAGAAGCTATAACAGAGGGGCGCCTAGGTGGCTCAGTCGGTTAAGCATCTGCCTTCAGCTCAGATCATGATCCCAGGGTCCTGGGATCGAGGCCCGCATTGGGCTCCCTGCTCGGCCAGGAGCCTGCTTCTCCCTCTCCCTCTGCCCGCCCCCCTGCTTGTGATCTCTCTCTAATAAATAAAATCTTAAAAAAAAAAAAAAAAAAGGCAGCTATAACAGAATAAGAAGCCAATACTTGAAAAGCCAGCCTTGTTTAATGTTTTTTTGTAACCTCTGTGCTTATTCTTATCTATTTTTCTTCATTAATATTTCATAAAATATTTGGCAATGTCCAACCTGTCAGAGAACTTAGGGTTATAGGCACATGAAGCACAGCCTGAAAGGCCAGAAGCAGGTTGGCAGTGGGAATT